GCAACTCCACCACCATAGGATCATCCATTTGAGAAAACTGAACCCCTCTAGCCTGAAAGAGTGTCCGTGCTGGGTCCAAAATGACCATCCCACCAGCCGAATGCGACCCACCCTTCGCAGCCCCATCCCACATGCAAATTATCTGGGAATCACCCATTCGCACTGGAGAAGGCAACACCGAATTCAGCTCCCTAGGAGCTTAGTGGCCTTACACTAAGGTTCTTTTGACATTTTTTTTCTTGGGTTAAAGACACATTTGGTCACTGAGATTACAAAATCGGGACATGTTTAGTCACTAGAAAAAGTTAATATCAAATTTGGTCACTACAATTACTAAAACTGGACGCATTTAGTCACTCGCCGTTAGTCTCCGTCCAACTCCGTTAATGAAGTCCGTTAAGTGCTGATGTGGCAAACAAAATTGCCTAATCAGCTGGATATAACCCAACAAAAATAAAACCCGACCCGCCACGTCATTAAAACCAACCCAACCCAACTCAACCCATGATCCAACCCCACCCAACCCTTCTTCCTCCTTCCTCCCACCTCGGCACCTCTCACCTCCTTCTTTCTCCAAAACCACCGCCGCCGCTCTCCTGCGAGGCCTCCTGGTGCATCGTGTCGTTGATTATGGATTCCAGGTGGTGGAGGATCGTCTTGGGATGGTTGGAATTGAGGGAGAGCAGGGTTTCGATCAGTGGGGAATCGGCAGTGTCGTCTTCGATTTGGGAGATTAGGGATTTGCAGAATTGTTTCACTGAGAGTCTGGATTCGGCCACCATTTGGAGGAACCCTTCCACCATTGCTTCGTCGGTCACTGGGAGAATGGATGGATGATGATCCGAGTTGTTGTTTTGTGAGTACCCATCGATTGATTTGGCTCGCCCTTTGGATCTCATGGCGGATTTCAGAGCCTTCTTCAGCTCCTCGCAGTAGCCCTCCAGGTGTTCGATCTTTTGCCTCAGTGGGCCTAACGAAGCTCTCGTTTCCGCGACTTCTGTCAATGTTGCGTCCCTAGTTTCATTCGATTCCCTCAACTCCCTCCGCAGATTCTCGATCGACAGCAAACCCAGTTCCCCGAATGCCTGCGAGGCCTCCTCGGACTCTGCTCTCACCGGCGAAGTAGTAGCTGCGTTCTTCGTGGGCTTCTTCCTCAGCCTCGGAAACAGCTACGACATCATTCCTTTGCTCCTCGGCTGAGACTAGATGGAAGCGTGGGAATCCGTCAATGGAACTACGATGTTGGGATGGATCTTGCTCTTTCGAACTGGGATGGGATGTTGGGAATTCCTTTGCTCCTCCTTCCTCCCACCTCCTCCCGCAATTCCAAGACTTGTCTCTCCCTCTCTCTCTCTCTAACTCATAACCAATTAAGGAAAAAGTCAACAGCGGGCTCGTCGGCGGCGTTGCTCAATCGAGCCTGGGAGGTGCCGAGGTGGGAGGAAGGAGGAAGAAGGGTTGGGTAGGGTTGGGTCATGGGTTGGGTTGGTTTTAATGACGTGGCGGGTTATAATGACGTGGCGGGTCGGGTTTTATTTTTGTTGGGTTATATCCAGCTGATTAGGCAATTCTGTTTGCCACATCAGCACTTAACGGACTTCATTAACGGAGTTGGACGGAGACTAACGGCGAGTGACTAAATGAGTCCAGTTTTAGTAATTGTAGTGACCAAATTTGATATTAACTTTTTCTAGTGACTAAACATGTCCCGATTTTATAATCTCAGTGACCAAATGTGTCTTTAAACCTTTTTTTCTTTATTTGTAAGTGCACACATATTTATCTCATTTCTTTTAATCTCATATGCGAACCTTTTAGTAATTATTTTTTTTTATTTTGTCCTTTTTCATATACTTAAATCTACATCTTTGTTTGTATTTGACATTTTTTCTTAGTTTTTTTACTATTCAAATATAATTAGACCAATCACGTGTATATAGGTGATGCAATTTTCATTTTTGAATTCTTATAGATTGACAATCTTGGTGATTTTTTTGGGTATTAAAACTAGAGGTCGGCTGATCACCCGTCTTTCAATCACATGTGTTTCGTCAATCCATTTTCTATTTTTGAATTCTTATTGATTGACATCCTGTAAGTTTTCCAACTATTCAACTATTTTTTACTCACTTTGATCCTGACCAAGTGAGAAAAACGGGTCGCACACACCTGTCGGGTTGACAACTGCAAGGTACCGGGTTGGAGGTCAAACTGTATTGTTTTTTTCTTTTGGTTTTTGAAATGTGCCTATTTTGGGGTTTTTTTTTTGTTGCCTAACCCAATCTTTTTAATTCTAAGTTGGAAATTTGAATATTGATGTTACATAAGTGTGTGAATTTTCACTATAAATTGGATCCAAGCACGTCAAGTTATTTTGGTGTAATGATATATGTTATTATTCATATTTTTGACAAAACTTAATATAATTTATAAATTTATGAACAATATAATGACTATTTTCATATATCCGGATTAAACTGGACTAAATCAATCGAACCATTAACTCTCAGCATCTTCGTACTTACACTTTCCCTATCTTTTTGTAATTAATATAGATTAGTAATTGCAGCAACCCATTAAAGCTTACCATCGAACCCCATAAGTACTTTCACCAAATCCCCCACTCTTTGTTTTAGAATTAGATTAGTAGGTGCATCAACCAGGCCACATCATCAACCCAAACCTAAGCTAAGTCGTTGCAATTACCCATTTCTTGGATCTAATAAGTTCCTTTCCCGTCAAACAAAAAGAAAACCAGAATAAAAAAGAAAAGAAAAGAGAACCTCATCACCAATTGCTTGTTCCTGAAGCAAATATTTTTTAGTGCTCTTTGGGGGGAAAATCATGACTAAACCTTTGGCGTAGAAATTGAAGGCAGTCCCCAGGCACAGGCAGGCAACAGACGATGACAAACCTTCAACGTCACCTGTGGGAATGACGAATCGAAGCGAGACCGACATAAAACCACAAGTTCTCATTTTCCCCAGGCGGACATCATGGGCACAGACAATGCAGCTCTCTCTGCATGCTGAACCAGGCTACGATTTTGATGCGCAAAGGTCGCGTGCTTCGTGATTCTAGATCGGTTGGATGCACATGGTAAACGCTGGTTCATAAGATTGTCACACCGGAGGCTCGGGATGACATATAGCAGCGTAGCCAGCAGATTAATGCGTGCAAGTTGCAGATTTTTGTTCGTTAGTTCATCGACATAAACCCAAATTTGACTGGGGGCCGGCCTAGAACAGATCCGATCCGCCATTTCGGAGTAGAAGAGAAAAAAAATGAGAATGAAACCAGAGTTGCTGTCCTTGCCTCTATGATGCTGTTCAATGCATGCGCCAGGAATGATTGAATCAAATGAAGAGCAATCAGAGGCAAAGCCACCACAGTTTCATGCCCTCACCCTCTTCGTATTGCGCTTAATCATTCTCAATAGAGTACCTAAGACAGACACCATCATATATATAATATAATAGCTTCTCAACCCCTCCTCCTAACCACCGCAATCATCGAATCCACAAAAATCCCCGCCTTGTTAATGTTTATCATCACCACCAAAGCTTCCCAGACTTTTCCTGGAAATGGTTTGTCCCACGTCCCTCGACCCTGATCAAAGGACTTTGACTTACCCTATCAGCTGGCCATGTGCTTCCACATTTTTGCTCAAGACCGACCCGAGGTGATCATGTCTTCCGATGGACTAGAGAGACCATCCGTCCAACGACATCCACTATGCACTCATCGCCCCTGATCATCATTAGAAATGCACAATTGACCCACTCTCTTCATTAACCTAATCCTGCGTTCGAATTCAAATGCTGTCTACTTGCAAGACAGTCGAGCATATAAAAGAGCAGAGGATAGTGGTACCTAGCAACGCGGAAATAGAGCCGCACAGGTGCAAGTGAGACAGTGCTACGTTTGTCTAATCTTCATTCTGATTCTCAGAGAAAACTGCACACAAAATGAAAAACATCAGAATGCAATGATGTATATATTATCTGCCTGATCAGAATCTTCAGTCTGGTTTTCCAGGATACTTGCTCTTCCAACTGGTGCAGACCACAAGAGACTCATGTTCCCCTGGACTACGCTATTGCAGGTACAGGGCAAGAAGCAGATCAAATGACGGACGAAAAACTCTGCCAATAAACAGAACAATAGAATTTTGCACATCTCTCCCAAAGAAACCAAAGAACTAAACGATCCATTTTCAATGTTCACTAGCTTTGATTCGTGAAGAATGCTAAAAGCAACAGCTGACCAAGGAGAAGTTACCAGCAGTAGAAACAAATATCAACTTTCCTGTAAGCCCTATAACTAGACCAACTTCCCCCAACAACTATTAGAATGGCTGAACACCATCAACCAAAAGCACATGCTGTGTGAAGCCCGTCAAGAATACAAAAAACAGGAAATATAGCATACACGAGCACAATTGCACTTAAAACACCTGACCTACTACTTGCTGCCAATAAATATGTCATCCCCAAAGAATGACATCTCTGCTAAATGACTACTGCGAGTAGGAATTTGCAAACGAGGAAGCTACAACCAGCAGCTCACAGCAGTAGCAATCTTCCTGGCATATTCCAAATAAGCTTACCGGCCCGTTTCAAAGAGACTAAGAATGCAAGCAACCATATGTCACAAAGATCCATTCAATACTTCAAGCTGAAAGCTGGCTCAACTGCTGCAGCAACATAAGTTTTCACTTGACAACCACGACCATCCAAAGGGCGAGATTGGTCTCGGAGCCGTTCACATACCAGTGACTATAAAAGCAATTTCATCGATCAAATCGTTACCAAAGAGACATAAAGTCAAATTAAAAGATCAAACATAGTTCAAAACTAGAAAAGTTTCTACGAATCATCCGGTACAGAACTGAATCATTCTTAGAAAGGCTTCTATTCTTTCAGAATCGTAATCATACAAATTTCAAAAACGACATGGAACAAGCACCACAGAAAGATTACACCTCAGCTCTCATATGCTCAAGCATCTTCATCAGATCCTTCTGCACCAAATGGATCGTGGGTCGGACCGACATCCTGTCCAATATGGCGCTGGACCAAACGCTGCAAATCAGCCATAACCTTGTGCTCACGTTTCGCTTTCTCTTCATAGTTAAACATAGCCAAAGCACGCTTGTCTTCAGCACTGTAAACCTGGTTTTCTTTCCTAATACGAATTGCATTCATCCTCTGGTGCCTGCTACCACTCATCACATACCCTAGACCCTCAAACTTTTGAATCTCATCAGCAGAGAGACCCACCTCACCTCTTCTTGGGATACGCTTCCCTTGCTGCACATACTGCGCAATCGCATCACCTTCACCAGGTCTCAAAGCACCACCATAGCTAATGTGCCCCTCAGCTCTAGGCAAAGGCATTGGGCCAACTGCAGGTTCACCGTCCAAAGCAGGTTTCTTTTGGGCCTCGATCAGTTCTTTGAACATCAGAGCTTCAGCATTCAATTCAGCTGTTATAGCATCTTCATCTGCAACTATTGGTTTGCTCTTCGTATCAATTTCAGAATCCAAATTCACATCAGAATCCGCAATTTCAGCCTCGGATTCCGATGTTCTCCTCTTCTTGGAGAGTTTAGCACCGGGACGTGATCTGTGTTTCCGCTTCTTCGACTTGGACTTCTCATTGCTCTCATCGGAATCATTACTCTCGTTATCATCAGAATCAGAATGCTTACTCTTCCTCAGACTTCTTCTGCTTCTACGGCTCTTTCTGCTGCTCTTGCTCTTCTTGGATGACTTCTTTCTCCGGCGTCGCCGCTTCTCCTCTTCAGAATCGCTTGCACTCTCACTCACATCCTCGTCGGATTCACTGTCGCTATCCATAGGTGACTTAGTTCTCCTACGCTTAGAACTCGAACTGCGTTTCTTCCTCCTCGACTTTAAATCTTCCGATTCACTCCCAGGCGAGATATCGGATTCCTTACCTCTTCTGCGCTTGGATTTCAAGCTCTTCTTCTTCTTTCTCAACCGGGAATTGTCAGAGTCGGATTCAGACGCGCTACTTCCAGAATCCCCCGACTCAGTCTCCGATTTGCCTTTCCCATCTCCCAATTTCTCTTTCCCACTGGAATCGTTCTTGCTTTCCACCATGCCGCGCTTGTCCGAGCTACCATCTCCCCTCCGTTCCATCTCTTCCTCATCCGTCTCGTTCTCGTCCCTCGGCGGGCTCGGGGTAACCTCCCAAATACAGTAACTCAGCGACTTCCTAAGCTTCTGCCTCTTTAGCCTCCTCTTCTCCTCAAAGGTCAAATCCTTCAATTCCTCGTCGGACTCAGATTCCACATCCCTTCCGTTCCGGTAGCCACCACCATCGCTGCGGCCAAACTTCTTCGGGAGAGAATCTAGGTTTTCTTTAGCCCAAGGGCTCGGGCTTCTCCTTCTTCTGGGACTAGGGCTTCTCCTAGGGCTTCGATGAGCGGGAGATATCGAGCGGCGGCTGCGTCCTCGATCCGTCTCCCTATGGCGCTCGTCGTACCTGTTGTAGGAAGGGCTGCGACGGCGATACACAGGCGAAGAGTCGGATTCAGGCGTGTGCCGGCCGTTTTGGCGATCCGGCCGATAACTACGATCGGGAAATTCGATGATCGAAGCTGGTCTAGGCATTTTTTAGGGATTTTGAGAGAGGGAGAGAGAGGCAGGGAACTAGGGCTGGCTGGGTTTTGATTTGATTTATGTCCTCGGCGGCACAACGCCGATTTGCGAGAAAGGACTGTGCGTGGTGTTATTTAATCAAACCCGTCGGTGTCCACGGAGTCAGCGGTGTTCCTCCGCACATCAACGGCTGAAATTATTTGAGGGAATGAATAAATGGGTCCTTTTTGGATTAGGAATTTTACATGTTTTTTTTTTTTCGTAAAAGGAATTTTACATGCTTTTTTTTGGTGGGAGGAATTTTACATGCTTTAATTGGTGCTTTGGTTTTTTTTTATATTTGATGTTATCCTAGAAATTTAGGTTGTAATTGTACTCATTTCAGTCATTTGTATAAGTTTTTTATATTAAAAGTTTTTTTAGGGTACAATATTTTTGTTACAAGTTTTCTTAGAGTACAATTTGAACTTGTACCTTTAATAGTTTGGTACAACTTTAATTTGTACCTCAAAACACTAATACTTTGAAGCATAGTCGAAGTGCTCTAGGAATTTGGGACACGAGGGATTTGGCCACAAATTACTATTAATTCGATATAATACGATTAGTCAGAATATCATTTGGATACATCATACTATGATTTATTATATATGTTTTTAATTATTCGAAAAGCTTAATTTTTTTGATGGCTAATAGTTTTCATTAAGCTCAACCTTTTGATCAAATCGATCAAAGGCTCGAAAAATACTGGTTACAACCTACAACCACACTCATAGTGAGGAAACGGAATGAAACCTATCAACTATACAAGTTATGGAAAATAGAAAGCTTGTCTTATTATTATATCTTTAAAAGAACAAACTACAAGTTTACTATTGGGTAAAGTCACATCCCGTAACTGTTACTTGTTTTGCTTTTTCTGACCAAAAGGAGACTTTTTATTACTTATCCATTCTTTCTTCCTCATGTCTAATCCCCAATTCCTCTCTCCATCTTTCAAGATCTGCTTTCTCTCTCCTTCTCTCTTTTGTGCTGAACAACGAAGAAGAAGCAAGGTGAATAGGGATGGCAATGGGTAGGGTCGGGTGCGGGTTTACCCTATACCAACTCCTAAACCGCCGGGTAGAGCCTTCTAAAATACCCGACCAAATAACCACCGGGTATGAAAATTATATAACCATACCCTACCCACCGGGTAACCACGGGTATTCGGGTAACCATGGGTACGAATCCTAAACTATGAACTTATACACATATATGCACATACATACTGTTGTCCATTAAAAATTCTCAATACTTCTAATTGTTCTAGCTTCAACAATCCACACAAATAAAAACAACAAAAACATAATAATTGTTCATGCTTCTACAATCCACACAAACATAATAATCGTCTACATCATCATCAATAATGGTAGCTAAACAAAATTTCTCAAGCTAAACTAAATTTATCAAGGGAAATTGACCTTTTAGTTAGCGGGGCGGGTATAACGGGGCGGGTATTATCGATTACCATACCCGTACCCTACCCTTTATTTTGAAACCGGGTATTACCCGTACCCGACCCTTAACCCGTCAAAGCGGGTAATTACCCTCGTTGACCGGTTACGGTTGGGTAGGGTACCCATGGTTACGGGTTGAATTGACATCCCTAAAGGTGAAGAAGAAGAAAAGGAAGATCGAGACTTGGGTGAAGCAAAACATGGAGGAGATGACAGAAGAATCCGGCGAAATAGAGCACAAACCGGAACTCGCGATTATCCATCAAGATAAAGTCGGTTCCTTTCTTCTAGATTTTTCTGGGTTTTTGTTCAATATCGTTCTTGGAGTTCATCCTCCTTTCTGTTTTTGCTTCTGATTCTTGTTTTTAGTGTTGTTTGCGAAGATGGACGAAGAAACAAATGACCAAAGAAAATGGCGTCGACGGGATCGATGATACTGCCTGGTGCGGATGGAGGGTTGCCGCTGGCTCTACTGAACCCTTGTTTTCTAAATGGATTCATCGAGCTTAAATCCATGCCGATGCTGAGCTTGCGTATGGGATACAGGTTGAAGGGTGAGTATCGAGCCTCTTTTTCGGTTTTTGATTACTTTTAGGGTTTTGAATTTTGCTAAAACGTTGTTTTCCCAATGGATTCATCAACCTTATAAGCACGTAGGGAATGAGCTTGCTAAGTTGTCGATTGACTTCTGATGAAGGAAGAGTTGTAGTTGGGGACTGCGCCTTCAACGGGAACAACCGCAATAAGAACAAAAAATACAGCAAAATAAAAAAACAGAAAGAGGAGGCGGGTGAAAAGACAGTGTCTTCTTCAATCACAGTAGGTGCTTTTGTCTCTATTTGTTATTTTTACATTCTTCGCATCGAAGCATAGCTTCACATCTTTCTTACTCATTCCTTTCCGAATCGTCCAAAATCGAATGCACCCAATGATCTCGGTGCTTCTTCCCCATCAAATATGTGGTCGTTGGTGCTCGGGGGTGGTCGTTGGTGCTCGGGGGTGGTCGTGATGCTGGTTGGAGGAGGGAAAAGGTGGAGTTTCCATGTGGCGGCGCCGCGGCGGCAAAGGTGGTCATGGAAGAGGGACCGACGGAGCAGGCATAAGTGGATTTGCTCATCAGAAGTCTCTTGCCCTCTTCCTATCCACTCAATTTTCTCACTACTGTATGAAAAACAAGAGAAATGAAAAAAAAAACTTATCATCAGTCTCTTTGTCTTGAAGGAGGAGAAGGGAGAAAGATGATCCAGCTTAGAAGGGAAGGTTTATGAGAGGAGGAGATCTCTTTGGTCAATTTTACTCATCCCAGGGGCAAGGTTGATCTCTATTGATCTTTGAAATCTCTCTGCCGGGTTGGATCAATGGGAGATCTAGAGAAAGCTTTCTGGCATAAGAACCACAATGGAGGAAAGCTTTTGAGATCGGACGGGGATGAACCTTACAAGAAAAGGGAGAAGATCAGTCTTTAAGGAATCTGCGAAACCAGGTAAATAGTTTTAAATTTGGCCATTTTTAGTTTTTTATTTATTTCCAGTTTCTGTAAGCAATATGGATGTCTCAATTGATACATTTAGGGTCGTGCTTTGTATTATTTTCCTTATTCTTCCTGCTGCTCTTCTTTTGCCTTTTCTAATCTGTTCTTCTTGAATGATGAAGGAGATTCAGTTTTTCGGCCAACATTAGTTGAGCCATTGAGCCTTGAGTAGGACTGAGATGGCAGTGGTAAAGGGAAGGTATTACCTTTGGTGTTTTTTGGTCCGCAGAAAAAATGGATTGGAGTCCACATCTTACTGGAAAAAATATAGAGGGGATGGAGAGGCCAAAGTGGAGAGATAGAGATTCTTTAGTGGTCAATTATTTTGCCTTGGGGAGGAATTCGATTTAATTGCAGTTGTAGCTGCTGCTTTGCTTTTCGTTCATTTGATTATAATTGTGGGTTTGGACCGTTTGGTGTTAATTATCATTTGTGGTTGTTGTGGGTTTCAACATATTTAAAATAAGCACAACTGAAGATAACATTTTTGTTAACTATTGTGTGTTATTATATATTAGGGGAAGTGATGGAGAAACGAATTGCTGTTGGGAAGTTGGAATCACATAGATGATAGAACCATCGAGTAGGACCAGGTATTTTCCCAAGTTCTCTCTCTCTCTCTGTAACTTTACGGTTCATCTTGATTGGTTTATTGTAATCGGTAAGTAGTTTAGCTGAATTCAAAAGGTGAGTTTTTCCTGATTGTTTGATTTAGTGGCAGAGTAGAGGGCAAAGAACGTGGTGGATGTAGGCTACTTAGCCAGGAATATGGATACAAGAGGCAGAGGAGCACTGTCAAAAAGTCGATGCTCTAGGAGGTGCTCAAGATATAGCTGACCAGGTCAACTTCTTCTACCTCCAAAATCCAACCCTATGGTACATACCGCTTTGGACCAATGTTGTTGTGGAAGATGGTGAGAGTTTGATGAGTGGTTGGTTTTTGTAGGAAATTAAATAAGCAACCATTCTTCCATGTTGGAATGCTTTGGATCAGCCATTCACAGATGGGGATTTTGATCTGGTTTGGTCCATGGAGAGTGGAGATCATATGTCTGATAAAACCAAGGTCTTTGTTTCCTTTTCGACACTTAATGATGCATTGTTAGGGTCAACCAGTTCATAATTCCAGTTGGGGAAATCTCGACGATTATATGGGAACTGGAATTTGTTATCGCAGATTTTGGGTAAGTTCCCTAGAGTTGCACCACCAGGGTGCAGCATAATAATTGTGACATCGTGCATCAGAGAACTTGGATCTCCTCATGAATCCTTGACCAAGTGGGAGAAAAATCACCTTGCTAGAATCTGCTAGGCAAGCTATCTTCGTGAATGGTGCTCCACTTCTGATTATGTCAAACTACTCCAATCCCTCAATCCCAAGGTGTGTATATACATATGATTTCACCTAATGCAATCACCAACCGAGTCGCCTTTTTTTTGCTGTTGAACCAACTCGCTTTGATTTCCTGCAGGATATAAGAACAACAGATTGATATGAGAATGTTACCCCATTTTAACCAGCATTTGTACGGTCCGCCCTCACATGTAAGGCCTTCACTTCCCTCCTCCGAATCGTTATTCCTTGATTTTCCTTTTGCCATTGATTTGATTCACCTCCAATAAATATAAGTCTATCTAAAGAAGTCTGTCATTCGTGGTAATCGAACTCAAGCTAACCTGGAATTTGATTATGGTGGAACAAGCATGAAATCTATCCGATGAGCATTGGTGATATCATTGATGTTAGAAGGATTTAAAAAGGATATTATCAAGTTCTCTGTTATAACGTTGACAAAATCCTGAATTGATTTTCTTGCCGATTATATTTTTTGCTGCAGAAGGTGTACAAAAATAGTAAACTTTTGCTTAGGTAAATATGGAACTTTTTACTTTATAGTACTGGAAACGAAAAGTAGTTACTGAGTAGGGAAAAACAATCAAACCGATTGATCGAACAAACTTCAGTACTTCAATGAATC